TAAATTTTCATACCGTGACAACCCTATGGGGGACCCAGTGCCAGGTCCATCTTTCTTCACCCTCTACCAAGGCAGACCGCCCGGCTGACGGACCCAGACTTTCACCGCCCAATCTGCCGCCTCCCTATCAAGACCTTGCCGCGGTCTTCGACAAACGGCGCAACACCACACTGCCGCCTCACCACCCTTATGATATGGACATCAAGCTACAACCGGGAACCACCACCCCATAGGGCACCTTTTCTCTCTATCTCCCTCCGAATCAAGAGCCATGGCGGAGTACATAAACCAGGCCTTCCGGCAAGGCTTCATCCGACCCTCCTCTTCCCCGGGTACTGCTGGCTTCTTCTTTGTGAAGAAGAAGGAGGGTGACCTTCATCCCTGCATAGACTACCAGGGTCTTAACAAGATCATCATCCGGGACCTCCACCCCCTGCCACTCCTCACGACTAGTCTGGACTCCATCTCCCATGCATGGATCTTCACTAAATTAATCCTCCGGAGAACCTACAACCTGGTCCACATTAAAGCATGGGATGAATGGAAGACCGCATTCATCACACCCACTGGCCTTTGGGAGTACCAGGTCATGCCCTTCGGGCTGTGTAACAGCCCTGCTGTTTTCCAACGCCTCATTTATGATGTTCTCCACGACATGCTGGGCCGGTGGGTGTTTGCCTACCTGGATGACATCCTGATTTACTCCAGGACTAAGGCTGAACACCTCCATCACGTCCGTGCTGTCCTCACCTGGCTCCTGGACAATAACCTGTTCTGCAAACCTGAGAAATGCTCCTTCCACCAGCAGACCATCTCATTCCTGGGCTTCATGATCTCAGATCAGGGCATAACCATGGACTCTCAGAAGATACGGGCGGTTGCGGACTGGCCTTTTCTGATGAGTCTTAAACAGCTACAGAGCTTTCTGGGTTTCTGTAACTTTTACCGCTTCTTCAAAAGGAGTTTCAGCACCTCTCACCCGACCAAGCCCTCCCAGCCAGCCGTTCCGCCTAACGCCATTCAGGCCTTCCACCACCTGGTCACCCAGTTCATGACGGCCCCCATCCTCCACCATCCAGATACTACTGCACCCTTTGTGGTCGAGGTCAATGCCTTGGACGTTGGCGCAGGGGCAATCCTATCCCAAGGCGTGCCGGACGACAGACTCCATCCCTGCACCTACTTCTCGAGGAAGTTCTCTGCCACCCAGCAGAAGTATGGCGTGGGTGACCGCGAACTTCTGGCCATCAAATGTGTGCTGGAGGAATGGAGACAGTGGCTTCTGGGCACCTCCGAGCCCTTCTCGATCTGGATGGACCACCAGAACCTCTCTTACATTCACTCTGCCAAGCAGCTTAACCCTTGCCAGGCCTGGTTTCCGACCGGGGCCCTCAGTTTATGGCCCGGTTCTGAAAGGCTTTTTGTCAACTGATGGGAGCCTCGGTCAGTTTGTCCTCCGGCTATCACCCGCAGACCAATGGGCAGGCAGAGTGGGTTAACCAACAGCTGGGCTGGTACATCTGGTGATTCGTCTCTGCTCAACCCTCGCAGTGGCCAAAATACCTCCTTTGGGCGGAGCTGTCCCACAACCTACACACCTCCTCAACCACTCACATGTCCCTTTTCGAGGTCTGCTATGGCTACCAGCCCCGTTCTTCGCCCACCAGGAGCCGAAGGTTGCCGTCCCTGCCACACAGTCCCTGGTGAGGCACTGCAAGAACACCTGGATCAAGGCACGGGCTTCGATCACCCTGGCCAACACCCACTACGCCCACCAACACCTCTGCCGACACCTTCCAGGTCCCTCCTATGCACCCGTGGATAAGGTCTGGGTGTCCACCGCGGGCCTCCGACTCCATGCCGGATCCAAGAAGCTCTCTCCCTGGTTCCTTGGGCCCTATACTGTGCAGAAGGTGATCAACCCTGTCTTGTACCGGCTGCGGCTGCCCACAGGTCTCCGTATCCATCCCACTTTCCACACGTCCTTGCTCAAGCCACATGTGGTTTCTCCCTTCTCACCACCTCCGGCTCCTGTGCTTCCGCCTTCCCGTTTCCTCGATGGTGAGCCCATCTACAACGTCCGACGCATCCTGGACGCCCATCGCTGTGGTGGTGGATGGCAGTGCCTTGTCGACTGGGCCGGCTACATCCCCAAGGAACGCTCCTGGGAACCTGCCCGCTCCATCCTGGACCCTTCCCTGATATCGGACATATGGGACCGCCGGGGTTGCCCTGGGACTTCTGGAGCCATCCCTGGACGGGGGTCCTGTCAGATCTCAAGTACCCAAACCTGCCTCTTCCAGCTAGCCAACCTCTGCCCAGGACTACAACTCCCAGCAGTACCTCACAAGGATTCCCTTCACGTCAGACCTACGTCACAACCCGCGACTATATATGGAAGTTGCCTCTCCAACACACCACTCAGTCATAGTTTCTTCAGATCCATGATCAGAGTTCCCAACCAACCAATACTCCCGACAAACTGTCTATCCACACTAAGTGCTCTCACTTACTTCTGGAAGAACCCAGCATCTCCATGTCACTTCACTGACGCTCGGGATTCCTAGATCAAACTGCGAGCCGGCGCTGTCCCGACGCAAGCAGTTCCGTGTCTGACAAGCCACGCGCGCTACAGCTCAACTCCTTGTATCTAGCCAACCAGTCTGACAGGGAGCTACAACTCTTTGGTTTCTCGTGGTCTCGACGTCCGGTAAACTCACCACTTGGGCTGCTTTTCCGTCGGACCACCGGGTGCGACACACACAAGGGTATCGTAGACTCTGCACACTGGCATAGGATGGTTTTATACAAAATACAGTTTAGATTATCTAATCATACAGCCAAATTGATTTTACAACCCAGACAACACAAGCTATCTCAGAAAGGTTTTGCTAAATGTGTTCTAATGTTCTTGTGTTGAGTTGGCATCCAGTTTCTCCTATGCATGTTTTATTGCATAGTTTGCATGGTACTTTGTTAATGACTCCACACTTATGTCCTACTGAGATCTTGTCTTTTGGGTGAACTAGTCTTTTTCTAACTGTTGTGTATGGATTTGTTGGTGTGTTTTTGTTGTGCTTTTTCCTGTTATGCCTTTGATGTATGGAAGGTTTATCGGTAACACTTTATAATAAGTGCACACTATTAAGCATTAGTTAATCATCAGTAAAGCATTGGTTAATGGTTATTTAATCATTTGTAAAGCATCTGCAAAAAGATTATCATAATTACTTAAAAGCTTACAAGCACCACTATTAAGGCTTTATTCATGATGAAGAAGCTACCGTGTCACACTTTTTATTCATGATGTTTCATGATCTATAAGTCATTGATTAATCATTTATAAACTCTGCTCTCCATCATTTACAAACCAGTCCTTTCATGATGTAAAACAGTATACAATCCCACTGGTAAAGGGTAAGTAAATAGTTAACATACCCTATTTAATACTATAAACTAAACATTTACTACACATACTAGAGTCTCACTAGATGTTTTCTAAACACTGAATCTCACGACTACATCAGTCAGCTACTAAATGTTAACAGATGTCTTACATTTACAATTGTCACTTGACGGCTTCCAAAGATGCAGCTCCCTACCGACCCACTTCTTTTTAAATAGATAATCTATCAGTTATTATAAATACATTAATAAACTACTTTAGAACGTTACAAACCATTTACTACTTCTTAGTTAAGTATTTTGAGTGAGCTCATCTAAAGTGGAGACTATATATACCTTACAACCTATTAATAAATGTGAAAGTTTTTCAAAATACATTGTAATAAAAAATAAAGGACAACACAGATACAGAAAGCACTTTATTTTTAAGATGCCAATTATAAAACATCAAAACAATGCTTACAAATATTGACACACAACTGTCAAAACAAACATTGTGCTGAACCACTATTAGCCAGTATTTGAAGTAAAGAACAAGGCTCGATGCACTTTTATGAATTGTATGTTTTTACATGAAATGCTCAAATATTTTCAAAAGGTGAAAAAAAAACCTGCAGTTGCAACAGTAACTTTTTTATCTGTATTTTTTTTTAAATGTCATATATCAGTCTCCCTAAAGCACCCTGTTTGTGCTTTTTTGCAAGCCATTCGTTCCACTCAATAACTGTAAGGTGTTCTGATAGTAGGCTGTCATTTCTGTTACCCCGGAGTCTCCAAATTCTCTCCTTGTAAGACCTCCAGGCTCTCTGCAGATGTTGGGTATAGGCACCTGTTAGAGGGTCCACATACCATCTGCTGTGGTTAACAGTATAATGTCCACAACCTACGTTTGGGAGAATGCGATAGGCCCGCCATTCATCACTTATCACCAAGGAACCAATCCTGACATGAAGAGTGATCAGAGGAACAAGATGTCTTTGAGATCTTTTCTCCACAAGACGCAAGATAGGCCTTGTTCTACGCTGATTTTTTTTATGCCCAGCATTCCGAACACCCACTTTCTTCTTTTCCAGCCCCCTGCCATTCTTCCTCTCCCATACTGATGCAGAAAGAAAACAATTAAGACAAATGGCAAAAAAGTGCTGTGAAAGGTTGTCATATAGATGTAATATATAATTTCTATTACAAAACTTACCTTTCATTTGCGATGAAAATGACTCTCATCGATCACAACAAACTCCCTTCGGCCACCAATCTACTGACCTGTACGACATCTCATTCTTTGAACTGCAGCCACACATACCCTCCTTAATTTTTTGGACATTTTACTAAGTGTTGTCGTACTGCCTGCAATGGTGTCATCCATCATGTCAATTTGACGTAATCTGAGATCCTGAGAGAATCTTCAGGGAGAAAAATAACATCCTTACAAAGAGTCATTTAAATTTAGTTCCTTTTTGTGTAGTGTTTATGCTTACCTGTAGATAGATTGCATCCAGTGTTGAAGTGAGACTTTCGAACGGCTGAAAAGGGACTTGTGTCTGACAGAGATTTGTTTAACGCGTCCACCATGTGCCGCTCCTCGACAGATCCTATTTAAAAATTGTAACATGAAAAAATGTATGTATCATTATACGCAGTGAGTTACTTAAGTAAGAAAAAAGCATTTTGTATTTAGGGGTGGAACATCCCTTTCAAGAGATGTCCCTGTTTGCTCTGTTTCAATGAGGATTTAGGTATAAAACCAAATAATAACAATGACGTTTACAGTAAGTACCCCGGTTATTATGGCGTCCTACAAAAATAAAAAATGCATTTCTTACCAGGCATATTGGTCTCCGTTGTTCACCCTTTTCTTCAGTTTTGTTTCCTGGTGGCATACTTTGCATTTCATTTTTCTTTTAAGCAGTTTAATCTTCTGAAGATGTTTTATAAGCTTCAGTGGGCCTCTTCTAGAAAGCTCCTCGTTAATTAATTTTTTCAGTCGTGTAAAATTTCCCATTTTTGGCCAAAATATCATTTAATGAGTTTCCAGTTATGCTAGCTCTGAGCTGTAATGTCGCTTCTGGCCAGAGAAAGCCGCGCATTTGCTGCTTCCGTCTTCCGACGTGACCAATAGGAGACCGCGATGCTGTGCCCTTTCACCTCTAGGGCATAACCAAGGTGGAGTAATGGCTTCCTCTAGCACTGTGAACATGACGAGCCCTGGTCGATCTACAATAGGCAGGCGAACGAGGGCAAAAAAGGGAAGTAACGACGTGGACAAGGTGGATGTCAGTGTTACAAGTGGTGAGTGTTTTGCACTTTATTGTGTTTGGTTATTTTGTTGGAAAAAACTACCATCACGGGGCTAGGCGCTAACCGCTAATAAGCGGTTAGCTTAGCTTTTAGCTTACATTCAAGCTCCACAAAAGCAATGTGCAGTGTATGTTACTAGTTATTTTTGTGACCCAGTTAAAGGAATAATTAAGGATTATTGCTTTTGGAATATCTCTGGGCTGCTATTAGTGTACTTTCTGCAATTTAGTTTGTCATTCTGTAGCTTTTTTGATGCATGTCTATGCAATATAAATATGCAATAAATGCTCTACATTATACAGTCTAATACAATATATTTGAAATACATTAATATATAATTATTGTCAAGTAAGCAAGTTTCTAAAAACAACTTAATATAATTTGTAATTTTACCACAGCAGGCTATGTATTAATCATTGCAATGATTTTACTGTTATTCATATTTTACAAACTGTATTATGATTGCATTTTCTGCAGTTGTTGTTTAATCAGTTGTTAGTTGTATTAATAGCCTAATTTCTTTTTGTTTTCAATTTTCTCTAGGTGTGACTATTGCTCCAACTGCACAGCTGACAGACAGAAGACGATCACAAGAGGTGGAGATCTGTAAGATGAAGCTAGAGTGGCAAAAGGATTAGATTGATGAGCTCACCAAAGAAAGAGACTATCTAAAGGAGCAATTAGCAGCATGTAAGTCCACTATTAAAAACATTACATAGCATGACAAATACTTTATTTGCTTTAGCATTTACTTAAGCATTCTGTTCTGTAACTTTGTCTGTGTTGTCTGTTTAACTGTTTTACTAGGTCTCACAAAAGAACCCACAAGGTCTGTCCAGCATCCCAGTGACGTACTGAGCATGTCTTCGCTTTCCTCTGACGGGTCATTTGATAAGGGTTCTGACTCCTCCACGAGCACAACTTCATCAGATGAAGACAGTCAGAAGAGGAAGAAGAAAGGCAAAGCCAAAAAGAATAAGAAGTCAAAGAAACATGACCAAATTGCAAGAACAAGAGGTAAAGTGATTAAATCTTTCTATAATTTGATCCTACATGCTGTATTGTACTGCTGTTCTTCTGAGTTGGTTATGTTATTTAACCCTTCTAGTGTCCCTAGAGACTTATGTGTGACTAAAATTAAATAATCTTTCATAAATTCCAGTTTTTAGATTGCTTTCATCCTTAGCTTGAAAACTCACAAATGTAATAAAGTAGAGCTGGCATGTCTGTTCTCACGGTGCGGGGGCTCTTTCCGACGCCCATACAGTATAAAAATGCAAATGACGACTTTAGTCGTCATTGGCAGTTAATGAGTAAATTTAGAAATATGTGTGTTACATCCCTACACTATTACATAAAATTAATAATCTCAATATAACACATTTGTTCTCTAAATTGCAGCCCAGAATCCCAAACAAGTGGTCACCCGGTATGAGAGGATTTTGAGGCTGTTCAAAAGAGGAGGGACCATGTCAGCTGCCTTTAAACGTCTGGGAGTGGACCGGAACACAATTGTGGCAACTGCTCCAATTGCTGAGCTTTTCATTGTCGCACCTGATAGGTATAAAGAATTAGAAAAAAACAAACAGGGTAAGAAACTGTCATTGTTTGCAACACAGTGTGCTGCAGCAATCAGTGCAGATCCAGAAATAGAGGACAAACGTGAGTCCTATAAGTCTTCTGGGAAGTTGCTTCCTCTTAAAAAAAAAGACTAGATTTTAGTGGTTTTTTTACATTGTGAAATGTGGTGATAGGTCACCATTGTTAACTGCAAAAAGGGCCAGATTTAATTATGTAGTCCAGTTGATTGGCAGATTTGTGTGATAAAAAAAGACACTCTATTTTTGGTTTGCATGACTTTTATTATTTTTTTACTGTTAGATTCTATGTTTATTTTAAAGATCACACATGTGATACATTTCATGTAAAAACATACAATTCATAAAAGTGCATCGAGCCTTGTTCTTTACTTCAAATACTGGCTAATAGTGGTTCAGCACAATGTTTGTTTTGACAGTTGTGTGTCAATATTTGTAAGCATTGTTTTGATGTTTTATAATTGGCATCTTAAAAATAAAGTGCTTTCTGTATCTGTGTTGTCCTTTATTTTTTATTACAATGTATTTTGAAAAACTTTCACATTTATTAATAGGTTGTAAGGTATATATAGTCTCCACTTTAGATGAGCTCACTCAAAATACTTAACTAAGAAGTAGTAAATGGTTTGTAACGTTCTAAAGTAGTTTATTAATGTATTTATAATAACTGATAGATTATCTATTTAAAAAGAAGTGGGTCGGTAGGGAGCTGCATCTTTGGAAGCCGTCAAGTGACAATTGTAAATGTATTGTAAGACATCTGTTAACATTTAGTAGCTGACTGATGTAGTCGTGAGATTCAGTGTTTAGAAAACATCTAGTGAGACTAGTATGTGTAGTAAATGTTTAGTTTATAGTATTAAATAGGGTATGTTAACTATTTACTTACCCTTTACCAGTGGGATTGTATACTGTTTTACATCATGAAAGGACTGGTTTGTAAATGATGGAGAGCAGAGTTTATAAATGATTAATCAATGACTTATAGATCATGAAACATCATGAATAAAAGTGTGACACAGTAGCTTCTTCATCATGAATAAAGCCTTAATAGTGGTGCTTGTAAGCTGTTAAGTAATTATGATCATCTTTTTGCAGATGCTTTACAAATGATTAAATAACCATTAGCCAATGCTTTACTGATGATTAACTAATGCTTAATAGTGTGCACTTATTATAAAGTCTTACCGGTTTATCAATAAATTAGGTACGTAAATTTTATGTTAATTGTGTTGTCAAGATTGTTCAAATGTTCTGCAAGTGAGTGTTTTAGTGTTCTGTTTGTCCTTTTCTAGTATGTCGACCACATAGTATTTCCATAATTTATTTTTTTTGGGGGGGGGGGTTCTAGGTCCTCCATGAAAACCTATGACGAAGCCTTCCAGTTGTTTGTATATTGTTCCATCGTATATGTATGCAGTTTGCTACCAGTTCTACCAGCTCTATGTCGTCTGCTGTGAACTTTGTTCTTCTGTGTAACATTTGGTGCTGTCTGATTCTGTTAACTATTTTGTCAATGGTTTTTTGGATTAGTGCTTTTGTGAACAGTGATGTAAAGTTGAATGAGATTAATATATTGTTGTCTTCTATTGCAATCTTTTTCAGTTATGTTGCCAGTTCTGTGCTGTTTTTTCAACGTTGATCTGTGTTACCTAATAATGCATGTCGGTGTACCTATGCTGTCTACTACTACTCATCTTAGTGGGGTGTTCTGTTTGTATATTTTGGGATTCTTGGGATTGTGTTTGCTGACGGAATCCAGTCTTTGTACAATTTTTCTGTTATTTTGCCCTTTTCTTGTAGTGTTTCCAGTCATTTTTTTCATGTTGTTCTATCCGCTGTTTGTATTTTTCTTTGTTCTTTATTATTGTAGGTTATCCTTGATTTGCCAGTAGAATAATGATGTGTTTATTTTCAGATAGTGCCGTCATTGCTGTTCTTTCTTTTTTTTTTTGTAACATTACTGTGTATCTTGCTGTTCTTTAATATCCCAACTGCACTATTTCTAAGTTCTGCATTTTTCCCTTTCTCTGTGATCTGTTGAAATGCCATTTTATTGCTACAATAAATTCCTCATATGTTTTTCGGTGTTATTGAAAAGTTTAAACCTTTGTTTAAAATGCTTTCTTCTGCTTCTATTAGTTTGTATTGTAAAATGTTACATACCCATTAAAAACTTTCAAAAATATTTTAAAGCAATCATTAGCTAGATTATTTTAGACTGTCTTGAAAGTGTCTTATAATTATCTATATAATTAACAATAACCTTTATTTAGCTTGTTCATGCTTTTTATTTTCGGATTTCTTTTACCAGAACAAGCATGTTTGATCACTTTGTTTTCTCTGATTTTCTGCATGAAAATAAATGTTTTTGAAGAACAACAGAATAATAATGTTGTTATATAATACAGTATATGGGTTTAAATTTTAAAATTTCAGCTACTTTATGTGCCCTATAAAGGGTTCACTAATAATGTAATGTCTTTGTGAGGAGCTATTAAATAGTACACTTATATTCTAAACCCTGCAGAGTCTCATAAGTTATTATGGCACCACAATTCATTTGCTGTTTCATTCTTTTTTACCTCCCAAACATGTTTGTCTCTCCAGTGTGTTATTTCTTCCAGGAAGAAAGGGAAAATTACTGAAATGAAAAGTGAATAAAAGTGCCTCTTTTTGTGCCACAGCCTCATGCATGGCTGTTAATTTACCACGTGAGGCAACATTATGGAGCTATTAGAGGCTCTTAGATTGGATTTAAGCAGGGAACTCATCATCCACATAAAGAAGATTTTAATTCACATATCTTCATTTGATATTAGATATAAGTAGCATATTAGAGTAAATGTTAGATCCAATTCTCAGTCAAAGCTAATTCTCTGCAGCATTGCTGGGCTAACTTTGTTTCACTTTAATGAAAGTAAATGTATTCATGTCTTATTTCTCTGGTGAAAATACATCTATACCTTGTATCCTTGACACAGCTTCAAAAAGCTTCTGGATTTGTCATTCTGGTGACTTCTTCTGCAGATTTTAAGCAGAGCCAGAAAGTGAAAGGTTCTCAGTTTAACAAGTTCTAACTCCAACTGAATGCTCACACTTCTTATGAGGGATGTTCAGAGTGGACATATTTCTTTACAGCAACTCTATTTTATCACAAGATGGCCATCAGTGGCGGAAGTCTTGCTTAGGCTTGTTTTTCATAGCAATTTGTTTTTGCAGTTTGCTTCTCTCTTTCTCTTTAAAGAGCAACTTGCAGGTTAGAGACTCTCATGAACCAATGTTTAGAGAAACATAATATAAACTCGTTGTAAACATTTTTTTTACACAAACATAAATTATTTAGGCTTTTAGTCTTTTCTGTGAGAAATTTTTTTTCGGCCAAACCAAGTGACATCATCTGAGGGAGTCCTGTTAGCTTAATGCAGTGAAAAATATTACAATGCCGGCGACACAGGGGAAACTCTAAATGTTTACAGTTATACTCATGATGGACCAAAACAATAAAGTTATGAATTTGCTGCATGCCCTCTGGGGCTCGATGTCCGGACACGCTGGAGTTGGTACAGCCTTCATATAGTTTTATCAACATGAACACAACCCACCACTAGTAAACACACACACTGACTGGAGAACAGGACCTCTCTACCCTAAAACTAGCCACTCTCCCCACTGAGCTGAGGCAGCGCCGAGCTTCTAACTCCTTTTGGTTACGTCAGAGGTTCAGATTTAGAAAAAAGCTTTGCTAAGAAAGGCCACGTTCTACTAGAAAAACTCTGCTGTTATGTATTTTAAAACCAAATAACCACAATAAGCTTTTTAAATAGTATTTTTTGGACAGCATTATATATGAATTAGAAAAAAAGATTTAACCTGCAATTTGCTCTTTAATCAACACTGTGGTGAGTGTAAGAGTAAATATGGAAAAGTTATTTACAGTTCACATTTCAGCATGGGCGGCACCAGGTGGTAGCTTGGGCTCACTTTGGCACGGGCAAGATTAGGCCAAGCAATGACTCACATTACACAGATAAAAATCATAAAATGCTTCACATAATGAACAAAAGTTAACAGAAGTAAATAAAAAGTAACGTTAAGTAAATTCAAGGTTCAATCAGAAGGTATTTGGCTGCTTTTTAAGGGAGTCCACAGTTTCACTACAATATTAGCTACTCCTGGCTTTGCTGTTGCTCAGTGGGGATGCACTCCTCAACCTGGAACCACCCACAGGGTGGCGACTGTTCATCAAGCCAAGAATTCCCATCTGGTGTCCACCAGCAGCAATGGTGGGAGTACTCTTTAAGCAGAACGGGTGGAGATGGCTCTGTTGGGGACAGCAAACCAGCTGCTCTGCTATTTCTCCACAATTGGAATAATGTGTTTGTCCTATATGAAGAACTCTGGTTTCCCTCAGGCAGTGGACTTCTGCCACACCCTCCTGGGGTCTCAGTGGGAGATGAAAGGTGACAAATAATCTCACAGAGGAGCAGTCATTACCAAGCTGTTAATCCTGATGAAACAATTTAGACAAGAACTCTAAACATAAGGAATGCTTAGGGATCATTTAAATACAGGAAACAGTTTCCCCACAGGTCAGCTCCATCATTGCTAGTGAACTCTAGTCTGCCTTTTTGACTGTCAGTGAAACCTGGCTGAACATTTACAAACATGCTCATAAATAAAAGTGGTTCATTTGTTTCAGAGCATTTAAACAAACAATAAAATACTAAAGTGCTGTGCAAATGTTTGAGGCAGGTGAGAAGAAAAAATGCTGCAAACAAAGAATTCTTTCAAAAATGTAAATCATTATAGTTTATTTTTGTCAACGTACAAAATGCAAAGTCAGTGACCCTAAACATCCAGTCATTCAGAACGATCAATCCATAAAACTGCAAAAGGATTCATGTAAAAAAAGGGAAACAATAATTCATTTAAAAAAAGATGAGTGTGTGAAAAGCCTGTAGTCTGGCGTTGTTTCTGTAATCCATTTAGTTCTCACTTTGTTTGTGTTTAGTAGTTCTGACGGCCTGTTGTTTTGTTTATGCTGCGTTTACCTTGGCCATTGAGTTCCCTCCTTGTTTCAGTTTGACCAATCACACCAGCCAGACAAGACAGGCTACTTATCTAATCTTCAAGGATGCTTTGCCAAGCCCCCCTGAAGAGAAAAGATTAGTCTCTCAATGGAATTAAACGAAGAACCATTAAAGTCTGAGGAGTCACGCTGATGTAGCGTTGTGGTTTATGCTCTTTTATGAAAGAGGAACCATTCTACATGTTAATTTGTGATATTAATTTTATTAAATTAATAACCAAATTGTATAGTTTTAAGAAGACTCAAAGGTTGTTTTCATCGATAAACTGTCGATAATATCCGTGGGTCTGTGTTTCAGTTCAATGAAGAAACAAGTTTGACAATTAAAAGTTTTAATTCTTCAAATTAAACTAATGATTTTGAAATTGACAAACAGGAAATAACAATCAACATTGGCAAC